TACGGAATTTTCATTAGTTTACGCTCATATTTTATGTATCAGAGTATTTTCCGATGTCTGTGAAAGGAAAGATCTAGCAGAAAACACAATAAGAAAAGAAATGACAGCTAAATATAAGGCATCATTGATATAAGAATAAAACTTGGGCACTGTGGTAGACTGTAATTCCATTATGTGTAAATTTTATTTTGATAGAGTCTCACAGTGTTATACAGTAATGTTTACTGATGACGTTTCGAGCACAATTTATTGCTCATAATCATGTCAAGTTAATCACACGACTTCCTAAATTCATTTATATAGTTCCATTGTTTTTCACTTGATTTGATTGGTAGTATTATTTTCCATATCTCAGGTATGAGTGATGATTCATTCCTATTGCATGTGTTGGGTGTAGATTCGATGAACAAAGATTCAGTAATCAACCTCTCTTTCCACCTACCTAGATTACTTTTTAGAATTTTAACCCTCTCCCACCCTATTGTGTGGTTGTGTGTTGATGCATGCATTGCAATTGCCGAGCTTTTTTCTAAATTACTTATCTTCTCTGGGTCAACCATTCTTACCTTAGCTAAATTCTGATGTTCTGACAATCTGACTACCCCTGACCTACTAGTTTGACCTATGTAGTTGACCTCACAGTCATTGCGGGGTATTTTGTAAATTATATTATTTTGTCTAATTGGGTTCACTGGGTCCTTTAACCTACAGAGCTTGTCCCTGAATGAGTTTGTAGGTTTAAATGCCACCCTAATTCCTGCTTTATTTAGAATCCTACGTAGGGTCTCGGATGTCCCCTCTTTATATGGTATAACTGTAGATGACTTATATTCTCTCTTATTTATGTTATTATTACTAGTTTTACAATTATTTTTCTTTTTCTTTTGGCATTTCTCAATCTTCCTAATGAATTTTGAAGGATAGTTATTTAACACCAACCAGCCATTCTTCTATCTGTTTTATTTCATCATTTAGGTCTTTTTTGTGCTACTTAGTGCCATTGCTCGGTTTGTTAAACACTTAACTAAGCCTGCCTTAACAGTTAAAGGATGAGATGAATTAAAGTCTGAACATCTATTAGAATGCGTTGGATTTCCACAAACACTAGTGTGTAGTTTGCCTTCTTCTATTCGTTTTATTTTACAATCTAACATAGCTAATTCTCCTTGCTCATTTTTGGTTTCAAATGTGAATTTTATTCCCTCCACTAGTGAGTTTATGTGTGTCAAGAAGCTAGAGATATGTTCTGTTTTTAACACTGTGAAAGTGTCATCCACATATCTCCACCAAATTTTTGGTGTAGGATTAAACGTATTAAGTGTCATATTTTCCCAGCTATCCATAAATATATCTGCTACGATATATAAGTCACCTATATCGTTCAATTCTCTTCAAAATACTTAACTGAATCAAAGTTTAATGAAACATTTCTTAGTGGATTTCTACCTCTTTGCATGAAATTGAGAATGACCTATTTTACATCTCTATCGAATTGTCTGAACACGTACCAGCAGTTGAAAATTAATCCAGAGATCACCAGTGACTGACTATAGAGTAACGTTGCCTGAGGTAGTAGTGAGAAGTCGTTACTGGCTGGGTTCATCAGCTTGGCTGTGAGAACAACTACTCACCATTGATGGGTGTTTGCTCCATATATCCCAAATTGACATGGGTTAGGATTATTGGACCATCAGATTCCCTCTCAGTGTTTGAATAGCCATTGGGTTGGCTTGGCAACTGAGAAATTCTCAACCCAGGACGAAAGGGCTATCCAGTAGTCCATTATGGATAGGATTTTATTTTCATAAATCACACAGCGTTGTTCAAGCATACTCACTCCTAAAATATGGTTAAAATATGTAGATGATACTTTTGTAGTGCTAAAACGAGATCTACACAGTTCATTCCTGGAGAAAATAAACTGTCTATCTCCCAGAATCCAGTTTACTTCGGAAGCAGAATCTAACGTCGGTGAGCTACCCGTTCTAGACTGCGTAGTGAAGAGGAGGGAAAACGGACATTTCAGTATATCTATATTCAGGAAGGAAACCCACTTTAATAAATATTTAGACATCGGATCATAACATCCCATCAGCGCACAGGTGGTTTCAAGTCTTAGACGAGCACACTCGCCAATAGCAGAGAAAGAAGAAGAAATATCAAACATTACTGAAACTCTCAAGCAAAACAACTACCCGCAGAACTCCATCAACAAAGTCAGCACAGACATTAAGTACGGCCGAAAATGTATTCCCAAAACATGGACCTCAACAGCTGTCATGCCACATAGAGCAGAGACGTCAGACAATATCAGAAAGTAATCAATAAGCTCGACATTAGAGTTTTCTTTAAAACATCAAACACACTAGGAAACAACCTTGTCCATAAAAATGACCGAATCCCTGAAGATTCTCTATCTAATTGTGTCTATAAAATAAAATGCTTGGAGTGTGATCTGATATACATCGGACAAACATCTCGAGAAATCAAAATTAGAAGAAATGAACACTGTAGAGCATCTCTTCGACCACCGAGAAATCCGGTTGAACTAGAAAAGCTTGAAAAATCATCAGCCATAGCTCGTCTACACGCTAAAGAATCAGGCCACAAAATCGAATGTGACAATTTTGAAATAATCCAGAAAAATTTAAAAAATCTTATATCAGAAGCACTTTATATCAAGTGGAATCCAAATTGCCTGAATAGGAATGGTGGATTAAAACAGAATTTGATCTGATTACAACACCCTCTCCCATGAAGTGACAAAATCAATACGAATGTGATAAGCACTTTCATTCTGTAAACACACGCTGTTTTTATAATTTTAAACACTGATCAAATCCAACAATCTACACCTAATTTTGTTATCTTTACGAATTGGCCAATTTCACAACGAAAAATGACCCCATACTGAGGAACGATGATCAATTTGTTATATATAAGCTGATATTTTGTCGATTCTAGTTTAATAATGCTTTGATAAAGCTATTAGCAATAATCAGCGAAACGTCAGCAAAAGCAATACCACTGGGGAGTACAAAAACCTCTATTTTAATGAATTGATCGGTGTCTGTTTCCTAATGATTAAACTTATAAAATAAAACATTTAGCTAAATGCTTGATACCTGACACAGATAATTTTCTTACATCTTCCAAGCAAACGATCGGCCGTCCTCTATGTGATATGTGTTCACATGTCAGCTGATAATCTCTTTATTATACTAGGATGCTTTCATGTTTCATTTTATTCCTTCTCTTTTCGAGTGGTACACATAGCTAAAGTCATGAGCTTTGAAGTATCAGTAGCTATAGTGTTTATTTTCTAGAGGTTGGGACTTACAGTCTCACACTGAAGCCTTCCTGTCTACCAGTCTTACTGCCAGCTAAGCAAGATTAAGAAGTATGTTGTCCAAAAGTCGAACTTCTGACTGAAGGCATCACTTAATCTAACTAAAGTCATTCACGATCTAACTTGAACTTTTTTGTATCACATATAACGGCTAAGTTGTTTGTCTACTCAATGAAATGAACTGTTACTTCTCATGTTTCAACAGAGAGTATCATTTTGAGAGGACGATACCGTCAATAATTTATTTTTTTAGATAAATTGAAAAACTTATGTGAAATGAAGCACATACTCTTTCCTTACAGAAGAGCATCGAATGAAGCTGGTGATTTGTTAAAAAATTCCATAATAAGCAACATTAGATTTATTATTAGGCATAGATATATTGTATTTTATTAACGTAAAAATATTGACGAAACAATAATAGGAATAGTTTTAGGACTTAAAACACCTGGTTTTATTTAACATGAATATCAAAGAACTTTCTGTATCCTTAATGGGTCCGATAGTCATGGGTAATAACACTTTTATGCAAGAATAACTTTAAGTGAATTGATATTTTCCGGTTTCTGAACTCAACCTTGATTTAGTGGTGTCACCTAGTGATAATAACTATCATATATGGTTTAAAATTGAGATTTGGTATAAGTGGGTTAGTGATAATGACCAGCAGTGAAATTCAGAACACCTGCATTCCAGTGCCAGTATTATCTATTCGAGTTTCATCCTAGACCGATTGTATAGCATACTGAGAGGTAATCATATTGGCTAGTAAACCATGACGGCTATCTGTGTTATAACATTTCCATAGATTTGTCTTAATGGACTGAAATTATCAGCCTAATTCGGTATGTTGCCTCCCAGTATGTGTATTTTGACGATGCACCTAGTTTACCCTAGTTTTTCTTGTTCATGGATTCCGCTGCTAATCACTAGTCAAATAACATCAGTTTTACTCCATGGCATCACTGAGGTGTCTTTACGCGGAGTTTCATCTCATTTTTGTTGAGTTCCAGGTGAAACATAGGGCTTTGACCTTCAGCTTAGAAGAATCAGTAACGGTGGGATTCTCAGCTTCAAGACCGACTCTTGCTCTTTTACGGGCATACTACTGCTTTCTATTTGGAATCCAAATGAGAAGCGACAACTGGGTCATCATTAAGAGGGCGACACGGAGGAGATCGTGTGAGGAGGAGATGAGAGATTATGAGCATTCGTGGACCCAGCTGAAGACAACGGTAGAAAATAGAAGAAAGTGGAGATGTGTTGCTGAAGCCCTATGTTGCACTTAGAACCCAAGGGAATAATAATTATAATAAATTGGCCAGGTGACGTTCATCATTGAATCGACCAGCAGTCGAACCACAGTTACATGCGTAGTTGCCCAGCATTTTGCAATTAAACCGTGTGCTTAATAACAATGGTTTCAAGTGATTCAGTCTAACACAACGACACCAGCAACAAGCTCATGTTTTCGTAAATAAAATTCAGTAGGTCAAGTACCTGCTTGTAATAACTTAAATAATTTCTGTTCAAAAATATTATCTGAATGAGCGTGAATGTTTGACTTAGAAAATGTATTTCTAAAATTATTTCCTTGCAACTAATAAATTCTTCGTACATTTTAGCATTGAAAAGTACTTTATACTTTCAGGTAGCTCAAGCATTCCAGACGATATTCAGCCCTCAGTATGTTCAAAAGCACGTGATCCAACTAATATTTTGGCTGATTTGCACATACCATCGCATAAAATAATTTTAGATGACGTAATTTTGCAAGGTGAGTGAATTTCATTCACTAAAATTCACCTGATTGATTGGAAGTTATTTCCTCTTTGTCGTTTGATTCTCAAATATTTGTTTTAACAACTGTTAACAAAATAGTCGTAAAACCTGTTCGATAATTCCACTTGACAATCTCCAAATAAACATCAATGTTATAGTAAGACAAACTTCAACGTAAATACTTATGAAACTGAGAGTTCCGACCCGAAAATTCCCGTTTTTTTTGATATACGGTGTTTAGTGTTCAAGGAGAGTAGAAATGATCAAAGGCTATAAAACACCCAGCAAATGTCACAAATGATTACACCTGCAAACATTTCCTCCCTTTAACTTGCACAACTCAAGTCTTTAGATTTCAGGTACATATTTGGAACGATAATATGCTTTCGTACTACACTTCGGTTAGGATATATGTTGACCAGCAAGTTAGCAGTTGGTGCAGTAACCGTCAGCATGTAGGAGAAACTTGCACTGAGCTACACTGACTTGCGAATTTCAGTTGTTCATCATTTCCAAAAACTTCAGAATACGTGATTTATAGATGCCTTACTACCACCAATACATGTTACTTCGTAATTTTACCAATATCATTTTTCATAATAGCGTTATGTTAACTGGGACAAGTGGAGATTACGCAATAATATCTTTCTAGTATAATGACTTCCTCAGCTGAATAGTTTTGAGTAGAATACGTTGTTGGTGTTTTTTTTTAATTTGGTCTAACCATCTGTATTGTACACCCTGGATTGCTGTTCAGTGCAGCGATATCAACATTTCCAGTCGGTGTTTATCAGGTTCATCTACTTTATCAAAAGGATTAGGGCTTCATTTTATGAAGTTTCGGGAAATCCAATTCATTTTCTGACTCGGGTGTAAAAAACTGATCAACTTGCCTACCTGCCGTTTATTACAGCAAAGTGTAAGACCATAGAAATGGTGCATTAATTTAGGAATCTGAAGTAATTTTAGCCAGCGTGAGTCGGTAGCACAGCGGTTAGGACTCTCGCGGACCATGCACATGGTCCGGGGTTCGATCCCATGCCGAAGCACACCTGATATCTGTGGTCGGCCTGCAAAATTTGGGCTACCGATATCATATGCTGAAAATTCCATACTTGTACCAAAAATACTGTATGGTTTCAAGCTATAATCAAAAATGAAAAAAATCAAAATTAATTCTCATCAATCTTTTTATTTGCCTGGGAAGTGCAAAAAGCAGACATTTCGATAAATTCGTATACATTGTAAAGACGAGTATGGCGGAACGATAGTCTGATGTCAAACAAATATAAATCAGCAACATAAAAAGGTGAAATATTTTATCTTCTGAGCCTTATTCACATCAAAGTTTTACATTTCTTCGTTTTCCGTTTCTTACAGGAACATTCAGTCGGTTATATGGAGGTAAAATGTTGGTGACGATTCGCAGACACGGTGTATTAACGAACGAGTGGAAAAAAGTGTTGGTCAAAACACTAACTGGTTTGTTTCTTGTTCAATCTATCTAATTAAGCATGCCTATTAACATTTTTAAAAGACTCTCTACTGAACAAGGAATATTCCTTTCGATAACCTGTTCTTCATCAGGTTCTACAGTTATATATTCCACCTCAATAGTGAATCAATTAGTGTGAATAAGAACATAAATGTCATTTAAATAACATCGAATCGATAATAATAATATGGATGGATTACAGTTCGATAGCATCAACATAACAACACACACTGACTATCAGAAAAATTAAGAAAGATAGTAATACAGATTCACAAATTTATAGCCTCCATTGAGGGCCGGCCAGGGCAATAGTAATGGCTGGCTGGACTTGCTTCTTCTGCACACAGAGCACTGATTGTTTCACGCGAATCGTGATAGACTCTGCTGTTTGGAGTATGCGGTACATGGATGATTTTCTAAGTTAAATCCGTCCTCGATAGTGAACGGAGAAGGATTCTCAGATGCTGGCTTTGTATATATCATTCACAATTGCATTCACCTGCGTTTCATATGTTTAAAGTCATATGACAGTTAACTAGGGTTCTTGAGTTAGTCAAGCCTGTTTCCCTTAAGAATTCAGGTAAGACAGTCAGTTAGTTAGCGAAGGCGTAGGCACTAGAACTGCCTATTGAGAAATGAAATACTTACGACTAGATACCAAAAAGACTCATACCTATGACAACCGTTTTTACCGCGAGTGAGTTATTAAATATAACCAGAATTCACGAAACACTTGTCTTTCACCTCTATTAGAGAACAATGAAGGTATTTTAAAAATTAGCCTTTTGAAATACCCTTAAAGTATTGAGTAATAACCGTCTTTACACACCCTGTCAATGTGCCCTTTAGTAAATAGTCAAAGAATTTAAAATTTAATAATGACATCTAAACATAGTGAAGTTACAAAACTGGAATAAAATCAACAAGTTATTTCCTCCTTCTAATGACACTTAACATTTCACAAAATGTCATAAACCACTGAAATAACTGAAAGTTTACTGAAAGGAAAAGTCAAGTATCAGAAGCTGGTCAAAGAAGTAGATTCGTCGTCATTGCTTATCTATAAACTGGAGTTTCTGTTTGGAATTCTATAATAGCAAACTTTCATTAGACGTGTCCACTAGTGGTAATGCCCCAGTTATTTAATAATGATGTGAAGAAATTAACTGTTGCTGCGTGTAACATTGGGGTTCTAACATATCCTTCTTATTCACCAACATCCCACTGGAACAGACAGAACAGATTATTTGCAAACAATTTGAATTACTTCCCTTGTCAAGTGACAAAAAAAATGAAAAAAACTGCTAATGTTATGCGCAACAGATATGAAATTTCGTCCATTTACGAACTTTATATACAGATTGATGCAGTAGCCGTTAGTCGTCTCTTAAGACCTATTCTTGTTGGTTTACACTTGAAAAATCCAGGAATAGACAAAATGAAATCTTCAAAATCTGCAAGCTATGTAGATGATACATTTGTGAACTGTGAGGACATGTGGCATACTTTCATACTGTTCCATAGCTTCGATAATATGCATCGAAAGACTAGTGACGGCAAAAATCAATTTCACTTCCTAGATTTATGTGTGAAAAGACGAGATGATCACACTCCGTGGAAACAAGGATAAACCGCAAGGATACCGGGACCGAACAGTATTTGAATTATTCTAGTATCCGCCAAATAAAATGCAAACAAGGATTATTCCGGGGTCTGTTTGACAAAAGAAGTAAACTTTGCTCCGAAGACAGAATGCAGAAAGAGTTTGACTTCTTTGAACAGCACTTGTCTGAAAACAGTTTTGCAAAGAAATTCACAGGACGTTTCGAGAAAGATAACAGCAATGAAAAAAAAGTTGTGTAATTCTATGTTCATCCAGCTTACCTTTAGACGAGATGATGAATCAAACTGCTAAGAGTTACTCTTGCTACAAGTTATGCGGCAGTTAGAAGTGTTTCCATGTACAGAACTAGTCGTGCAATTCATAAATTGAAAGTAGACAGGTACCCATCTGAAGTCACCTCCATGTTCACAAACTCACGTGTACATGCCAAAGCAAACTCATTGGAAGGAAAAAAGGGCGGGAATCCATTCGCTCGTCCCAACATATGCCAAAGAGCCTTGAACTCAGAGATCCCCAATCCTTCACCAGAGACACAAGGAGAATATTCAGACTGCATTTACTATTATCAGCGAGCGAAATCCAAATTTACTTCGATTTTCAAGTGTTGGTATGTAGGGATTTGATTTGTTAGAGCATTTTCATCATGTGCTGACATTAGTTAGAGAACCATTGGAAAAACTAGGAGTACTGGACAGCCGTTTCGTCCTAGTTTGGGACTCTTCAGCAGTACGCACTCACCGCGATTCGAACCCAGGACCTTCTGGTTACAAGGCGAGCTCGTATGCCATTAAGCCACTGGGACCCAATCCAATGGCCCATGAATTACTTCGATTTGTTGAACCAAATGCTGTCAAACAACTCAAACCAAACTTGTGTATACGGAAAGAAACAATGATTAATCTTTGAATGCCCTGGTAACAAATTTTTCCTCTTGTTACATAATGCGTATTCTGTTTCTTTGATTTTGTTTACCATTCTTATTAATATAGTCACTAAGGCTTTTTCTCACCCGATTATCTTAACCTTAACAACTTGTACAGTATTGCGTAATCTCTCTCTGTGTATTGCTAGTACAACAGTGCCCTGCTTGAAAAAAATTTGCACCTAGAAACTCTAAGAGCGAACCACTGAAGAATCAGTTGCCCAAAAAATATTCAGAAGAGAACAGAGATAGGTCGGACACACTCGTAGGTGGCCATTAGCTGACAAGGTGAGCCAGGACCTCGAGTGTAGACTGAATTGGGAACGACTAGAGGGATGTAGGTCTGGAGGTCAAGTGAAGGAGATCGTGTAGGTAGTGGGTGACAGCTTATAGGTAATCATGTCGTCAAATAAAGATGACTGCAGAGAACAGCATAAAATGGTGGCAAGCTTTTGGATCCTTACGTTTCACTCTGAACTCAGACGAATAGTAATAATAATCTAATCGAGTCAGGGTGATACTGGAGTCTGGAAAAACTTAGTTAGCATAATGTCACTTGAGTGTTTGGCGGTTTAAACACTAAAATAACTTTTGCCCAACTTGGCGTCCTGATTAAGCTTACCAGTATTCTTTCGTTATACTCTAACACTGTAGACGCCTTAAATTCTCTTTTTTTCCACTGATGATCCCGCCTTTGACTGTGGTTACTGTGAACTGCTATTGACGTTTGAATGTATGCTCTGGAAAAGTCATTCAGGAACGATACACCCTTCACCTAATTTATTCATTCACTGAGATTTCTGAAGTACTGTTTGAAATTCATCATTAGTTTTTGAGACGTTTAATCACATCTGACTTTTTTTAAGGAATAATAATCTACTTTATTCCAAAAACGGTACTTATAATACAGAATGGAAATAGCATTTGTCACAACATCGCATCTGATTTACTTAAAACATAAATAAAGTTAAAAATTAAAACAAAATTAACCAGAGGAATCTGTCCACTTTTATGATATAAATTCAAAAATATTCGAAGCACGAATTCAGAATAATAAATATAATAATAATAACAGTGAGTTTGTTTCACACAGTATTGTCGATTCAGTTTGGAAATTTTAGCATGTTATAGATTATTTAATTTAAATGTTCTGTTGATATAGTATGGTGAGAGGAAATACAAAATGAACCGTTATAACACAGCTTAAATGATGTTCACATTTATGAAAAAAATAAACAAAACAAAAAATTGAGAGGATTATAAATATAAGAAATACAATAACAATAAAATTTGATGTTGTAAGGGTGGAGGAAATGGTTTATTTAGTGGTGCAAAGAAGGTTAGTTAGTTCATGCCTAACAATATTTTCATCACATAAAGTGCGTGCCAAAATCGCATAGTCAAATTTTCATACTTTGACGTACGTGCATACAGTCTTCTGGAAAGACTGCTTGTTTTACCTGAGGAGACACAAGTTTGGAGCTGCGGGTACTGCGGTGGATAATCACAGTCTGACAAGATTCCTTTAGGAAAACTGTTGCATGACATCAGGGGCCTATCAGTGACTATGTCAACGACATGGCTCAATAGGATACCCCTCGCCCTACTGACAGTCTTCAGAGTTCTACGAAGTATGACATTGTCTTTTTTACGCAATCCAGGAAAGAACAAGGGTGAACAGTAAAGAAGAATAGGTAAGACGCCCAAGTTTAAAAACTGTAAGAGGAGTGGTTGGGTTATGCCTGAGTGCCTTAACTTCTTAATGTAAAAAGTCAGACGAAACATGCTTTTAGAAATCGCTAAGACATGACAAGACCAGGATAGATCAGAAGAAAGAATTTATACAAGATACTCAACTTCAGACTTGGTTTCTATATCAGTATCATCAATTTCGCAAGGGTCATAGGAACCAACGGCTTCATTTAACTCACGTTTACATTGAGAAACTAAAGATTTAGGAAGAGGAATAACGGAAGTATTCAAAATATCAGAATGTCATTTGAGAATCTTGAGGTAACTCTGAACGAACAACTGTGCCTAAAAGATGATTAATAAATTTATAAAAGTTTATCCCTGTAAACCAAATTCAATTAAGATCATTCTTTAATTAAATTTTACTCAGCCTATACTGTTTTCTGTCCAGAAAAAACAAGAATTGTGTTAAGGGGATATTTTTTCGACTAATTGTATCTTCCGAAGATCCTTTATAATATTATTTGTGTGTTTAATAGGCTGAAATCATTGAAATCTGGAATAATCGCTTTTAATGAGTGCTACTGCTTTGAAATAATAGAAAAAATTTGTAGCTCTGGTGGATGATATTGAATTGACCTCGAGTTTAAGTCGAGTCATAACATCAACAACAAGCTGACATCAAAGACCACAAGAAAATTCATCCTACCATATATAAGAAAAAATATCTCCGAAATAACAGCTGGAATATTAAGACAGTTTGAAATAGATATAGCACACACGTCAGCTAGCCAGCCAGCACAATCACTTCATTGGATATTGTGCAAACCAAAAGATCCAACAGAGAAATAAGGCAAAACTAATACAATTTACAAAATATATTGCATGTATGAACTGCAGTAAACATTACATCGGCAAAATTGGGCGTCCACTTCGAATCCGAATGCAAGAACACAAATTGCCTGTAAAAAGATATGATATGTATTCTTTCATATCAATGCATGTAGATAATTATGGACACCAATTTGATGATTGGGATAATGTAGAAATTTCAAGTAGAGGAAATACCAAAAATATCGGGGAATTTCTAGAAACCTGGTACTCAAGTGAATCAGTCAGTGATTATCAAACGTATTAATATAAACCATATTTACCAGATAATAAAAAGTAGATCATGTGACAAGAAAGTTCAAATTCTAAGTCGATAAAAATAATCAACAGAGATGTAAATTAACAACCATACAGGATAGTGGTTACCAGGAGATACAATTAAATCATTCATTCTATGCCAATAATCTGCGTGGAAGATGTTGTGTAGAAGCGGTACAATGAAAGCTTCACAATTAAATTAATTAGGTCCTCAGAGAACTAACAACTAATTCAATACTGTTTTATTGTTATAAGTAAATTGAAAGACGGCTGAGTTCAAGAAAGAAAAATTATTTTCAATAAACCTGAAAACCATTCGGGTAAATTGCATATGTCATCCTTTATTTGTATGTATGTATTAGGTAAAAATATTTGGTTTAGAACTCTGTACATAATAAAGTCAGCTGATAAATATTCAAGTATTGGACAGCTGTTTCGTACGCCTGGTTTCGAACTATTCAGCTTTACGTACCCGATGCCGAGGTTTGAACTTTGGAACTTCTGGTTACAAGGAGAGCTTGAAGACCATTAAGCCACTGGGACCGGACCCAATGGCCCATTAATTGCAGCCCCGGTGGGCGCGTACTGATGAAGAGTCCCAAACTGGGACGGAACAGCTGTCCAGAACTCCCAGGTTTTTCAATGGTTCTCTAGCCGATGTCAGCTCATGACAAAGTCTTGTAACCAAATACTGAATAATTTACAGCCCACACTGGTCTCCCAGAAATATCAAGATCTGAACTGACTGTAAACTGTGTCTATGTGATGACTTTTTAATTATATTTGTAGAAAAGGGATCTACTTTCAGGGCTTTATTCATTATTTGTGAAAATTCAGCTGTTTATTCAAAATATTTTCCTCACATATTATCTTTATCTGATTAAATAGAAAAAGCCACAGAAGAACAAGTACGCGTTTTTATAAATGATGCGTGTAAATTTGTTGGTGTGAAACATTCTCAAATTGCAACTGTTATTGCTGCTTCAGACAGTGTAATTCACACTGACTCTTGTACAAATCATCAAACAGTAATTCGACCAATATTAATTTATTCCAATGCTAAATATAGTAATTTGAAATTGTTTCTTCAGAGAAAATCTAAGGGTTTACATGATGGAAAACTAAGTCCAAATATGGTGAGTATTTTATTGGCTTTATACAATTATGTTACTTTTGTAAATACTTTTTCCTAAGGGTTGGTCTGACAAAACAATGTTTGTAAAATAATCACATATTATATACTACTATGAATGTTCCCTCGGGTTCTCAGTGGAATATAAGGCTTCAAGTGAACATCTTCACTTTGTTCCACTCTCTGAGGCCTTCTTCAGCTGCCCCTCAAATCTTCCCCACGTTACCCTCGAACTCCACACCCATCGCTTTCCTTTCGGTTCCCTCAAGTGCAGTGACCTGGAGCGCTACGTCATTCGAAGGTCTCCTCAATGTATGCTTAGTTCATCCCCATTTTCTTCTACAAATTTATGAAGCGACAGATTCATCATTGGTTCGTTCTCAAAGTTTCTTATTGCTAATTCTTTGTGGCGACTTTATCTTCAATATGTGGCCATCAAAAGTATATATTGATGAGAGTCTGCAGCCTGTTGGAAATGCTAATATTGGTGCTGAGCATTTGAATGTTGTTCTTTATGTTGAGTGCAAAAGGCTTCAACAATGATTTTAGAGTGATGAAGGTGAACACTGCTTATTCACTCTTGACTGGCCTTGACATCTTCATCCATTTCGCCTGTGGTTGAAACCAGGCTTCCTAGATAAGTGAAGGAATTGACCTCTGTCAAACTTTCCAGTTGATGGTGGTTGCTGCTGCTGTTGGTTGTTGGAGTATCTTCATCATCTCCGTCTTGTCTGTGTTCACTTGAAGTCCTGTCTTCTCTGGCTCCTTCTTCAGCAAGTTTGTTGGTTTTTGCTTGCAAGTCTTCCAGTTTGTCTGACACTAAACATAATTCATGCACATGCAAAATCTAGAACTTCTAGATGGAATCTCCTCATCTGTTTAACGTATTCCTGTGCACAGTTTGACGCATAATCTAGTCCACCACAATCAGGAACATCATCAGTGATGTTATTTGGCAGGCTTCTCTTATTCCTGTATTCGTACTCCTGAGTAAATTAACACGTATAAAAGTAAATTATATGCATATCAGAACAGAGATAGAACAAAAATGGCTGCAGAATAATATTCATGCAGCTTATTTCGTCAGTCTTCATCTCTTGAGCACAACCTATAAAGCAAGTTAGAATGCACTTTTAACACACATTCGGTCTGTAATCATATATATATATATATATATATATATATATATATATATAGGAGCAAAGTATCTCGTAAACAGTGGACAAATGCGTTGTTTAGGTGTTGATATGTCAGCAACAATTGCTGAGTTAGAGGTATTAGAATGCATAGAATAGAACTCATAAGACTGGAAAATCAAAATTTGGTGTGCACAAAATCTAATGAAAAGATGATGATGTAACACAGTGGGTAGAACTCAAAGTACTAAAGATTAGTTCTTAGTTGATGGAGAGGAAGATTGAAAAAGATGATGTATTCAGAAGACAGATATTTACTAAAAGGTGAGTTACCAGTGTGAATGATGATGGAATCCTCTTGAACAAATGCGTCATATTTCTAACATTTTAATGTGACAGCCTCAGCAAATCAAACAAGACTTCAGCTATTTTGTCCTTTAATTATTTTGAATGCTTCCAGTGCTTCCACTTGATGTCTTGAGTCTACCAGGTGTTTAGTGAATGACGAGTTTAAAACATCTAGTCCCTTTTGTCAGAGGCTGTTGTTGCATTTCTATAGGAAGCAAAGACAAGACTAGAAAAAGCGGACAGTGGGAAAGAGATAAATCATAATAAAAATAGTTGTTTATACTAATCATCACATATGAGAAGTTGAATAAAGATGATGGAATTACGCAGTGTTATCTAATGGATCGCGTCCGATACATCTGCGGTCCTGATGCTCTAGTAAAAGAATTCCACTTTTTGAAAGAAACGGATATCCACTAAGATTTACGAACAAAAACATCAATTCAAAAAGTCAAAGACGTCATCCGTTCCAAAAAAGGAAGTGTACGCGAAAAATGACTGCAAAGGTGACCTACTTCGTGATGTTCTTAAGAAATGAATTTCGGATTCTTAAAGAAGAACTACACAGCAACGCTAGGAATATTGTTATCTAGTCACCTGCTGGTCTGCAGAAGCCTAGAGTTGAATATCTCGAATCTAGCCACTTAAGTGTGTATATCAATTTACCTGCTCTTGTGGAGCCAGGTATGTTAGTCGTTTAACGCGGATCCTGTCTATAAGGGTCCAAGAACACCATCCCACATGTTTTCAGAATAGCAAAAGTGACTCTATAAGAAGTGTAATAATTTAACACCATTGTAAACCCTGATCACTCTATCTCAACAAACTCTTCATTCAAGGTGATCTGCAAAGTAAACAGTAACCTGATTAAAACGATCAGCTGTCATACTCTGAGAAAACGAACCATCATCAAATGACATCATGCGCCAGACCACCACTTGAGTGGAACCCAATTGAATGGAAAGCGGTGAGTTAGTTGATCGTCAGTGCGAGGTTGGGTGACATGGAGGAGGTCATGTGAAGAGGAGATGAAAGCATGTGATCAGATGTGGAGTCAAGTGAAAACGTTGCAATGGAGACGTGCGGCTGAAGCCGTATGTTCTAGAAACTAAATGAAACAATAATAATAATATCTGTTACCTCCTTTAGTTTATAGGATATCATGATGCCATAGCTTCTCACTCAATCATACAAACTGTTTTCGTCCATCTACATAACGTAAACACATATGCACTACTTGTACCACTAAAGCTAATTTTCATTGATAACTGCAATACGTGAAGTTTCATTATCTTTCGCCTCAGTAAAGAGATCAGATTTCTTGAATTCTTACTTATTCATTTTAGCGTATGTAAAGGACTATTAAAAACACCAACGAAAATTAAACGAATATGATGCGTTTTAGTGTTAGTCGAATAAGTCTACAAGAAAGAACATGAATCTCTCAGCTGATCATTAGAATGAATAACACCCTGATGTTACCAGATAAGAAATTTATGCTTCGAAGACTATTCACAGAGTCAGATACATAATTATGTGAAAAAGAGCTTGTAAGGTGTCATGTATAGAGATTTTTACATTTGATAAAATGATGAAAAAGCATTTCACTATAAAGTAGCTAAATGTCTTGTGAACAGAACTTGTAAAGGGATGAAAATATTTACCAACGAATAATCAGCACCAAGAAAATTCTTGACATACTAGAATAAGTCGGATTATATTTCTTCAAGCATATATATGTGTATGTTTGATCTTACAGTGTTGCATAGGTTCTTATAAAGAGTGCAAACATCAAAATGTGTTTGAAAACGAAATTGTCGGAAATATGTGAGATACTGAGAGGAAAAAACACTGTATCACGTCACCATGTAGCAATTTGACTACACTTTACTTGTGTTACATAATGTACCTTTGTTCGCTTTTCAGATTTTGACAGCAACTCAGTTGATTAATATGGGTTTACAAATTCTAAGCGCAGTCGGCTATTTACACAGCATAAATGTGATACATGAAGACATTGCGACAAGAAATTGTGTGTAAGTTCTCACTCTATGATCGTGTTATTTTCATTAATTACCCGTATAATTTTTAAAGGCGAAAAAACACGTAATATTTGTCACACCATACTTAACAGGAGATAACTAAAAAATGTCTATGCGCATGTATTCTAAGCTATCGGAATTTATAGGTCAAGTATGAAATAAGTCAAGTTGTTATTATCTGTAGATTTTCCGGTGACATGGGTGGGATTAATGTATCTGTAGCTTTTGTTACTGAAATTTCATCATCGAATATTGCATTCGTAGATAGCTTTCTTTTAAATAGGAGAAATCTGATAAAGCACCCAACTTTACCTACCTACCTACCAGGGAGGCATCGTTTCAACTATAGGCGGACGGAACTGATGAGGATATCAAAGCGGCGAGGATCAGGAAAGCCAGAGAAGCTTTCAGTACTCTCAAATCTGGGTGGAGGTCAACATCACTCAGCGTGAAAAAAGGTCTGAATTTTCAATTCCAGTGTGAAGTCAGTGCTACTCACTAGACGGATCAAAGACTTGACATAATGCCGCATCATGAAGGGCACTTCGAACAAACTACAGACCTTCATCAACGGCTGTCTTCGCTCACTACTTCGCTTAAGATCAGATGGCCAGCCATAAAAAATCAGCAATGGTGAGGGTTTTCTGGGGATGAGCAAACCAACACAGCAGGAACCAATGATGCAACATGAATGTGTGCAAGAAGAAATGGGTGTGGATTAATCTTACTCTGAGAAAACCATCATAAAATGACATCACACGCCAGATCATCGCTCGGATGGAACCTGAATGTGAAGAGGCGAGTTGGTCATCAGTGAGAGGGTGAGGTGACATGAAGGAGGCGATGTGAAGAGGAGATGAAAGCATGTGGGCAGACATGAAGTCAGGTGAAAAAGTTGGCAGAGAACCGGACGCAATGGAGACGTGCGACTGAAGCCTTATGTTCCTCTAGGAACTAAAGGGAGCAATAATAATAATAAGATAGCTTACGAAACCTCGTCTAGTTTACTGGCTTACTAGTTTTTTAGCCCGTTTTAAGCCAAGAGAAAGATGGGAAGTTGAGCGTGAGACTAGCGAACCTACCTTGGAATATAAATCAGACTGCTATGGAAACTTCAGTGCAGAAAAAAAATATTAAAAAATACAAAAAACAAATTTATTCTTCTCTGAAATCATAGAAACGAAATGAATTAGGTTGGTATGAGCCTTCAGGAAGTCGGTTAGCTAGCTGATTTGTCTTCTTTCAATCAAATCAAAAATAAGGATAGGGATGAGGAAAATTCCTACAATATATATTAAGGTGGAAAGGCTGCCCAGGTTGCCAAAGATATGGAAAAATACGGTGTAGAAGTACCAGGAATTGGCGACAGCAGGTTGCATTGATGTTGACTGTCAAAGTTGTCAACTGAAGAGTCAGTAATAGATCCCGTTCATCCAGACAGCAGCTACAACACACTGATGAAGTGGCCATCATGACGTCACCATCAATGGCAAAAGCTTTCTTAGTCGAAAGATTCATTTCAAAACTACAAACAACCGAGATTAAAAGAAGAAGGAAGATTTCTATAGAGAACTGCGAAAAGTAATGGACAACATCTCAAACCGTGACATCGAGATGCTGATGAGCGATATATTGCTATTATTGGGAGTAGGCAATAGAATAAAAGAATTCATCATGGGTTGAGAGTCTGTTAATGAAATGGATAATAGCAGTGAACTCTTCTCAGCCTTCTATTTGGGCAGGCAACAAGTTCGTAGAATATTTGGATTTCTTGGACAATTTGTGTTTGATGTTAAGCAAACTCAAATACTTAAAAGCGAAAACCAGCAACTTGGCAGAAGAAGCTGTTAGGGGACACAGGACTTCAAGTGAACAACAACAATCACAGTCACTGTCAATGAAAGGAATGTGGAAGAGATTATCTAGAAAGCATCGTTTCAACTACAGGCAGTCGGCACGAAAAAGGATGTCAACAGCAGAATTGAGAATGAAAGCAGGCCCTCATTACTCTGACTGCTGTTTGGAAATCAGCTGAACTCACCATAAAGAACAAAATTTGGATTTTCAACACCAGTGTTACATCAGTTCTTCCAAATGGGTTGAAATATTGCGGGTGCGTCACAAACGGCATTTCCAACAGATAAATTCAGACTTTTATCAACAGCTGCTCTCACTGACTCCATACTAAAGTCAGATGTCCATCTAGAAGCAATCAACATCCAAGGATCTCTGGAAACGGATCAATCAGGAATCTATTGCTCAACAAGTATCCAGAGGAAAATGGAGATAGATCTGTCACTCGCTACCGACAGTGTAGGATGGCTTAACACTCCAGATCGTCGCTCAAGTGGAGCCCTACTGGTAGACGACGGGTTTCGAATCCTAGGGTTACATAGAAAAGATGGTAAGAGGAGATGAGAGACTATGGGAAATCGTGGCGCCAGCTGAATAAGACCTCAAGAAGTAGGAGAAGGTGGAGATGTGATGCTGAAACCCTACATCACACTTGGAACCCAAGGAAAAAATAACAATAAATTAGATAGCCCACTCACAAGGCTTTTCTAGTTATGGCAAGCAGTTTAATTAGTTCAGATTCTGTGAATTATCGCAGTAAAAATGTAAGAAGATGTACATGTTAGAATGAATTGAATAATTTGACTGCTAAAGTTGTTTCAAACTTGTCAATTAAGGAAGATTCATTCTGCTATTTTATGTGTTTATTATTGCGTCATGTGCTGATAATGGCATCCACAAAAGAAATATGAATAGAGAAACTATACTCAGCGAAATCATAGTGCCAAAGACGACACTATTTGTGAGTCTGACATTCAGTGGTGACACTATCTCCGAAGCTATTAAAAGTTGTCTTTTGAATTGTCTCCATAGCGCTTTCTGTGTCTCTGACTTACATCTGGTATTCACAAGGCCGGTGTTTGATTCGACAATGAGTGAAGAATAAACTACCGCTTATGTCCACTCCTCTGCTTATACACTCTTTCACAAACAGAGTTCGAATTCCGTTCAAAAGTTTCTATGGAATGCGATAGATTACTGTGAAGGCACTACTTCAAAGCATTTACCACATTATTATTATTATCGCTATTTTTATTTGATCCACAAATCAAAGACATTGGTTAAACGTCTTGTAGATAAAGCTATGTAAATTAGAGTAAAGCCTGAAGATCTAATTAAAAACAACAGAATTGTTCGCTTATTTATCTTGTCCTAATTCTTCCTTTACCTTGATCACAGTAGTCTCCTTTCATCGCTTGAATTTATTCCACTTCACTTAGTTTCCGCCCTTTTATTGTTTTCATTATCACACTTTTAATTTTCTTTTAAATCTGACCTACTTTTAAAGTCTTAATACCAGTTCACCTAGTTTAATTGTCTTTTTAAATTTTGTAGTTCTTCTGCTTCAACTCTGGCGCCTTAAACATCATGTTAATTGTCTTTAGTCGTGTCATATGTATATCGACTAGTGAGCAATTGATGATAGTGCCACTTTTTGCCTTATTTTCATATAACTGCGCGGCTTGAAAATGAAGTCACCGAAGAGAAATATTTCATCGCTGGACAAAGCGCTGTGTACTTCCCTTAATAATTGCTGACAGTTAGGTGCCAATACTTGTTCTGCTTTAGTGGTTGTTCGCGAACAACAGAATAACTGGCACACTGAAATTAAAATCTATTAACGTCTGGTGCGATATTTGTTTACAGATTGTTTGGTTGTATGTACAAGTATAGAAAACTCCATCTATAATCCCTGGAAGCCATTAACTGGAGAAAATTTGAGCAGTTTTCCATTTGTTGTACATATGCTACCAAGCTCTTTTACCAACGAAAACAGTCAATTGTCTTATTTAAATTTGATCCTTACTTGATCAACTAATTGATGAACTACTAATTCGGTTAGTATCCTGGCTAAGACTCAGTTCTTGTAGTGAGATTTCTAACAACATTTTCCGGTAGTCTTTCGAAAAGCCAAACGATCTGTGAACAGGAGAATTCCTAGTGCAGCTGTAATGTTCAACTGATTAACATGCTGTTCGTAAAATTCTGAAGACTATCAATCGGTGATCAACTCGCAAAAGCAAAACTAATCCTTACAAATCAACTAAAGTAAATTAATCTGATGCTCGCTAGTGACTTGCCACAGGATGGAGTTTCCTGGAGTTCTGTTACAAAGTTGTGACCAGTGAGGTCCATCCAGTCACGTGTGAGGAAGAATGTCCCACTGACGATATTGGTTGAGGTCACGCTAAATCACGAACTGCTAGAAGTTAGAATTCATGAGCCAATGAATTGGGGCCCAGTGTCTGAATGGTATACTAACTAGCTTGCATTGTAACCGGAAGGTCCTGGATTCCAACCGTAGTGGTGGTTGCGTACTGCCGATGATTCACAAACTGGGATGACATAGATGTTCAGTACTCCCTGGTATTCAATGGTTCTCTAACTGATATCAATCCATGATCAACACGTTTAAACAAAACTAACCCATACAAGCCAACTATAGAAAATTAACATAAAATCGTTATTTCAGCACTCTCAGTTCAAATCAACCAGGATTATGAATACCTTTGTTCCTAGTGCATTTAATATTTAAATGTTTTCTTGTTTTTTTTTATTTGATACTTTCCAGAATAAAAGGCAAAACACGCATAGCTCTAAGTGATTCAGCTTTGAGCCGAGATTTATTTCCCGAGGATTATCATTGTTTAGGTGATAATACAAATCGTCCAGTGAAATGGTTAGCACATGAAGCCTTAATTGAACGAAAGTATAACAAAGCAACCGACGTATGGTCAGTTGGAATTACTTTATGGGAATTAATTACAAAAGGTCAACAACCTTATGCAAATATAGATGCATTTGAGATGCCAGCAGTCCTGAGATCTGGATATCGACTGAAAAAGCCACAAAATTGTCCAGATGATTTGTAAGTGTCATTTTGATTAAAATTTGTTTTAATTTCACGTTTTATCTGTAACTTAAGTTAGTATGGACCATATGTTTAGTTTTTTAACTGTTTAATTAATGTATTTAAGGAGAACATAGGTTAAAAGTTGTTGTAGGAATTATATCAAATAAACCTCTATTTATTTAACAGCTGTGACTAATCGTTTAACAGCTTGTTAACACATATTTTTGAAAATATTTCGATGAGTGTGTTTGGATGTGGGGAAAGATAATATTCTTATCATCATACTATTTGTTGCTTCAAGGGATCTTCCAAATAGGCCTATATGACAGCAATTATTTTCTTTTTAAATCTCTTTAAGTTTAAAAATGCGTGACTTCAACCTAAATAAGCCAAAGTAACTGGATAAAACAATTAGAAACTCAGCTGTTAGACCTATCAGTTGGTATCCTCAACGTGTGTTCAATGTATCTTTACTCCCTTAGGCGTGCTTCTTGAGCAACAGTTTCTTGATTGGTTTGTTGCCTTAGTTTCTTGAGAGTGATTCTTTCTGACCAGCCATCCGATCTTCAGGCAGCAAATGAGAAAAGTCTGTAACCTGTTGAAAACGCTTTTTGTGGTGCGCCAAGTTTCTGATCCATATAAAAGAAGTGATTCAGCATTTGTGCTGAGTGGAGCATGGTTCGCAAACAGATTTCAGAGTGATGAAGGTCTGCGTTAATTTTCGATTTTGCTCTTGACATCCTCAATCGTGACGACTGCCTGTATTTGAAATTATGCTTTCTAGATAAGTGAAGGGAGTGATCTTTCTCAAATTTCTCCCGTTGACAGCAAATGATGCATGTTGTTGTGTAGGTATGTTCATCACCTCCTTCCTGCGTGTGTTCACCTGAATTGCTATCTTTTCTGCTTCTTCCGTCTGCTTGTTGGTGTGATATGGTTATGAACGATAAATTGTATTCTAAACGTCATGCGGCAAACAGTACTGCCTCACCATGTGATTTACACAATAAATAAATAATTCAAACAAGACAGAAATGATGCCATCTAGCAAAAGAAAGTAGGAACTAGATCCTGGTCCAGTTTTTAAGATGAATGCGAAAAGTGAACTAAAAAGTAATTCTGACCAACAAATCATTTATTAAGGGAAATAAACACATTTATAGATTTTGATGTACATTATTGTAGATTATTGTTAGTAGAAAATACAGTCTTTTGATTGGTTGTTTCTCACGGAAAGTTAACCTTGCATCTTTTTGTGGCTGTGTCAGATCATCCATATGCTAACTGTATCCGCCTACGCAAAGCTTTTTTTCTCATTTTCTCACCACCTATATTGGGGACATAAACATTGACGTCAATTACTGTCTACCAACTTCGGCTAGCAGCCAGCTCTCACCACAATTCTACCTCAGTAGTTGGAATCAGACAGGGTGACTAGGAACTACTTTTGTATCTCTGCCTCAATATGTTTGCCAGCTAGTGTCAAACATTAGATGGTAACAAGGAATTCTGGCAGGTAGCTAGCCAACCAAGAACTCATTGCTAAACGATTATTCAGAAAAAAAAATTGAGATACATTGGACACGTTCTGAGAAGACCACTGATTATCATCACGTGACAGGCTCTCAAATGGAACCTGAATGGGGAACGACCGGTTCGGCTTGAGCCGAAGTTGACATGGAAGAGATTGTATGAGAAGGAGATGAAAGCCTATGGTCAATTGTGGAACCAGCTAAAGGGGAATAAAGGGAACAGAATGAAATGGTAAAGTGTTATTGAGGCCCTATCTTTCATGTCAAAGATTAATCTCCACACATGCCGCATTGGGTTAATTAATTAATTATTTTATTTTGATTACAGCTTGATGCCACACCATATTTTCAGTACAAGTATGGAATTTCCAGCATGGATATCGGTAGCTCAAATTTTTGCGGGCCGACCATAGATATCAGGTGTGCGTCGGCAGGGGATCGAACCCCGGACCATGTGCATAGTCGGCGGGAGTCCTTACCACTGTGCCACCGACGCACGAGCGAGAAAGGAGTATTTCATAAAACCTGGGGAAATATGACTATGAATGCTGACGAAAACATGTCAATATCTCTTCATGCAACACTCCTTGACTGATATAAGTGGCTCTGTTGTGAGGTGCTAGTCCTTCTGTGTCGCTACAGGAGTAATTCGTGAACATCTTTTAAATGCCGCCTCAGTTATAGCCTCTTTTTCGGAGAATATTTGGAATACGGTCAGAAAAAAAGAAATCAGATTCCCAACATATTGAGAATTTTACCAATTAATTAAATTCTAAGAGTAAATTCTGATCAAGTCACTGAACATTGCGTGTTATACAAAATATATTAGGCACGTTTGAAAAAATTGAGTGGAAGAAACAACACATCAGAAACGGAAAGATTAACAGAGATTTACGGATTGGCTGTTAGATTGTACACTGTGTTCTGGTCGATAAAATAGAACAAACAAGGAATTTCCTTTTTCATTGTTCTGGAGTTCTTCACAAAACTGATTCGTGCATGGACCTCTGTTTGAGAATTTTATAAACTGGAGTAAGACAGAACGGATCTACTTTGTTTGTATTTCGCTAACTGTTTACCATTCTGGTTATTGTTATTATCATTCTTTCAGTCTCTGAGTACATCTCCGTTTTATCTTGTTCTCTGAATTCCTTATTAGCTGGTCTCACAACTGTCTATAAACTTTCGTGCCCCCCTTCACAATATCCTCATTGTCACTCTACAACCTACCGCTTACTTGTCACTATCACTGGAGGGCGATGGCACTTGACGGTCTTCTCAGCATTTATCCGATCCATCTCCACTTTTTTCATAATATTTGTAGAGCAGTAGGCTCCTAGTTAGTTCGTTGCCAGAGTCCTTTATTACTTGTCATTTCTGGTTGGCAATTCGGTCTTCAGTATAGAGCCAGCAAACCTCATGCTTCTACTGACAATTTGTTGGTTTTCATTAGTTTATCTTCGAGTTTGTGTGACATTAAACAGAAATCGTCTGGAGATTCCAAAGCCATTTTATCCAGCCAATCATAACTTAATAATTCATTTGTCTCAGGGACGTTTAGTCTTTAAACTACATGCCTGAAAATCACAGAATGGTATGCATCAGCCTGTATTTAAATCGTAGAATGCTTGCTGGTCATAAAGGTGGTTCATTTTCGATTCTCGCTAAAACAATCTCGAACCACCTAGCTTGTGGTAGGCCAGTAATAGAAAGAAAGTTGGGGAGGAGACTAGCAAACCCCCTGCTCCTGAAAACAACACCCCTATTCCACTGAAATAATAAAGTTAGTTGATCCACTCGGAACGCTGATGATGGCAAAAGCAACTCAGTTTATTGATGGAAACGTCATTAAATGTGGTGAGAAAAGCATTCCTACGGTTGGGGCAAAATATCTGTGTTACTGAATTAAGTAGAAAAAAGTAGTTTCAAGAGGTAATAATTGCACGTATCTGAATATGGCATTACAAAAGTATAGCAGACATCCAGAATGTATTTCCAGTTTGATTGTGAATTGATATGAGTTTTACTTTAATAACTACAACACTAAATTCGTAGGTTTAACCACAAATATAAGCTAATTGATGTTTCCTATAAATTGTCTTAATGCATGTTAGGTGATGTTTAGCAGGGTGCGTCAGCAGCGAATAAAACCTGGACCACGTGTGAGTTTGACAAACCTAGTACCACTGAAGTAGTTAACCTCGGTACTATCATTAAGAAAGAAACTTGGTGCATTACTGCTACTGAGAAATGCGCCATACAAAGTCTCATGGTTTGTGCGAAAGCTGAAATACTGACCAAACGCCTCAACAGAAACAGGTGATTGTTTTAAGGAGTCATTCCTGGAACATTTTACTTGAAGTATGATCACCAAGATAGTGTAGAAGCACTAAGGACTACGTTTCTATGGCTGGTGGTGACCAAGACAGGTTCAAATACCGTCCACTACGTTTGGAGTCTGGAGTCTATATACACCACAGGCTTGGAATCAGCGTCATTCAGCTTCCTTAGGTAGGGCTGCATATCCACCAGACCGGTAGTAACCACTATTCGTTAGGATTTACTCTTTTGCTTTTTTGAGGAATCCCTCCTCCTCATCAAGGCAGTGGAGGCAGGATATACCTGACAGACGCTATGAATTCTTGGCTACACGACAGCTACCGGCGAGGTAGACCAAAAGTCTAACCGCTCTTATCAGTACCATGTCGTTTATGCTGGTGATGTAAGCAATAATTAACGAACAATCAAGTTTGATGGAAACTGTTTCGTGGAAATTACTTCGCAGGTAACAGAATCATCAATAATGGCTTCGTTACTGCTGATGAAGTTGTAAGGCCTAATATTGTCATAATGTTTAAATGCATCAAATTGTATTTCAAATATTTTTTTCCTCAACAGATGGAAAATTATATACGCCTGTTGGAAAGCGAATCCATCTTCTAGACCGACAGTTAGTCAACTTATTACAAGATTAGAAGCATTTAAAGTAGCTGTAACTAATTACATTTAAATACTCATCTACTTGAGATTTTATTTTGTTATAATATACAATAGAATATTTGTAAATAGTTTTGTGTTTTTTCTCATATTGTAATGGGACATTACTTTGTTAAGTATTCTGTAATATGCTGCAGTGAAAAAATCGACAGATCTGTATATATTTGTTGCTAAGAGTGTATATTTGGCAAGGAGGGAGATTATAAGTTGGCCGGAGGCAATTGGCAGGAACCTTTGGACCTAGGTTTCGTACTAGTTGGCACTCACTGGTCAGCAAGGCGCATCTGTAAACTTGAAGGAACTCATGTTTATTATGAAATCTGAACCCGCCTCACCCAGTGCTGTATTCAGACGCTCTTCCACTGAACTATTGGGGCTTGCAAACAAACTCAAGTAGGACTGTACTGGATATTTTTTGATTGGACGCTAGTTAGAAACTAGTGTAATGTGTCTAGTCATTGATGTTGGGGCGGACTGATTTTTCGCAGTTAAGTTTGAAATTTGGACACTATTCTAGGGTTCAGTTCTTAGACTGGACATGCATTCCTGCAAGATTGCTGATACGCCCTCCTGACGAGTGCCGACTAGCACGAAACCTGGGTCAGGCAGGCTTCCTGCCGATTACTTTCAACCATCCGATAGCAAAAACTCAAAGTGCATTATGATGGCAAGCCACCTAGTGGCATGGTGGCTACATTACAAACTTGACTGATAGAATTCAGTCCGCACCAAAGAAAGGACTAGACACATCACACTAGTAACCAGTGACCAATACAACTCTTAAGTTGTAATAAGCATAAAAATATAATAGGAAATAGTATATAAAATAAAATAAGGAAATTTATACAGCAAACTGAGGACCGTAAAACCTCTGATGGCCAAAGTAAAGACAGTGTCTGAACCAACTTCTTCTTTTGGATACATACACTAGATAACTTTTTTTAATGTAGATTTTATTTTTTTTATTTTATTTTTGGTTACAGCTTGATTCCACACAGTACTTTTGGTAGAAGTATGGAATTTTCAGCATGGATATCGGTAGCCCAAATTTTACAGGCCGACCATAGATATCGGGTGTGCGTCGGCAGGTAATCGAACCCCGGACCATGTGCATGGTCGGCGGGAGTCCTAACCACTGTGCCAACAGCCCCAGCAATATGTAGTAGACGAGCTCTTAAGGTTAAGTTAAGATTATTTGGTATGCAATAGATGACTCTGAAAGCCTCGATAACATCAATCTTGTATTTTGTATCCGCATGATGAGATGGAATAACTCTGTGAATGGACTTTGTTTGTCCCTTACTTAATCCTGCAGGATGGTTTTCTGAAATCCTGTGATAAACGCGCCCAATTCTACAGCCTATGTAGCTGGCTCCACATCGGTATTTTTAATGACGATTATTCTAGAATATTCAGCGTGTGTAAATATATAGATGTGTGTATAATTGTAGAACCAGAAGAGGAAATTGTCGGATAATATATTCTTTGCTCAATTCTCTCTCTATAAAACATCTTTTGAAAATTTCAAAGAATAAAGTTAATGATAATAATGACATTATTCGAAACAGTACAGTTGATACAGTATGGAATTCTCAGCATGTTGTAAAAATGAGAGGTTAGGTGTGATGTGAGTGACCATACCCTGGAAGATCAATCAAGTCGTTTAAAAAACGTCACAGCAAAAGAAAAATATATAAAATAAACTTGTTCTTTGATTGGATCGAAGAGCCGAAATGACGCCCATAATCATATCAAATGACGCCGAAATGACGCCGCCTGCCGAAAGCCTATGGGTAGCCAGTCAGATGATATATGTGAGGACGCGAAATGTGCAAAGCTAAGAAGGCTGAAAAAGTTGTCAAAAGAAATGGGGAGGTAAGACAGAGAAGTGCTAGGAATCTACGAGTGCAGGTAATATCGATGTGGACTATCGCAACTGTCAACTGAAGAGTTATTGACTCCGTCATCCACATGACAACTACGAGCACAGTAGACGAAGTTCTAATGCAATGGCAACCAATATGCTCTTGCAGCATCATGGCAACAAAATTCATCCCAGATTCATCCACTGCTACGAACTATGCTACAAACAATCCAGAACAAGAGAAGGAAGACTTTTACAGACAATTACAAGCACTAATGGACAACATTCTACATGGTGACATCGAAATCCTTATGGGCGATACTTTTTTTGATTATAGCTTGATTCTATACTGCATTTATGGTACATGTATGCAATGTTTAGCATGTGATATCGGTAGCCCAAACTTTGCAGGCCGACCAATTGATATCAGATGTGCCTCAGCAGGAGATCGAACCCCGGACCATATGCATGGTTAGCGAGAGTCCTAACCACTGTGCCACCGAAGCACAAACTGTGTGCAGACAACACAATTTAGGGAATTCATCATGGGTTGAGATTCTCTCAACAAAATGAATGATAACCGAGAACTCTTCACAGCATTTAAAGAATATTTTCGATATTAACTACAACTCAAGTGCAACACTCAGGAACTGAAGAACAAAACCATAAGGGATTTATTCACTGCAGCCATCAGACCAAAGTGGGGATAACACGTGGCATCACTGAGGAAACATGTGAGGAAGAACATTGATTTGGGGAGAGCTCTCTGCTAGCTAAAATCGGTAGACAGTAATTTACGTCAGTGTTTACGTCCCAAATGTTGATCATGTGAAAAAAAGAGAACAAAGACTGACTCATCAACCAATCACGACAGACTTCTCGTTGGCGGAAACAATTAGCAGATAGCTGATCTGGTACCATAGAAATAAATCGATGGTGTTGCGATGGGTAGTTCTCTTGGGCTCCGTGTTAGTAGATATTTTCATGTTGAAATTGGAAAGCCAAATCCAACGTATGCTTGGAAAATTTATGCTGTATAAACGTTATGTATATGATACTCTCATTATTGGTATTAATAGTAAATCTATTGAAACGTTTATTACCCTATTTAATCATATCCATCCAAATATCCGAGTGACTTCTGAACTAGAATTGACTGAGAAACGTGGTTTTCTGATATTACTATGACTAAGAGAGATGATGGAACAATTTAACGATCTATTTTTCGTAAACAGACATGGAGTGGACAATATAATTTTACCAGTTTTGTTCTTATCCAGTATAAACGTCCCCTAGTGAAATGTTTGTTCTCAAGGGCCCGAAAAATATGCACGAGTGAAACAGTGATGGATGAGTTTCGGCGTATTTATTCAGTTTTATTAGCTAATGGTTATCCAGAAAACATTATCACTTGTCACTGTAAAGGAAGATCACATCTCGATTAGATAGTTTCTGTACCAAAGAAAGCTCTCTTTATTAACCTACTATTCAAGGTTGTCTAGATTATGCAGTTGACAGCTCAAAGGGATCAGTCAGTCATCAAACGCACATTCTACGCCGCATCTCTTTTTCTCACTTGCCGAACATTTTCGATCCCTGTACCTACGATTAAAGGACGAAATTCTGTGAACTCTATTTCAAACTGTATCTACAAGTTCACCTGCAGCTGCGGTGACACCTGTATAGGTAGAACCAACAGAATGATCCAATGTCGTCGAAAAGAACATGTTCCAAAATGGCTACTAAATCATATAGAAAATCACAATGCGATTAATCTGAATAGAAATCCAGCATCATCCATTGCAAAACACATATTAATGTCAGGTCACAAAATCAATATTAATGACTGTTTCACAATTATTTCACATAACTCTAATTCAAGGTTATTGAAGGTGATGGAAGCACTTTGGATCAGTCACATACAGCCTAAACTGTGTGTCCAAAAAACAATAGATTTCAATCTTCGCCTACGCTGGACTACTTGACCTATATAAATATGATTAGTCATTAGTATGTACTTTTGTGATTTTTATTTAACTGCGTAATTGCCATGAGCTCTATTTTATTATTGTTAACCATGTTAGTTGTGAAGTGGTTGTAAAGAAACTACGAAATGAAGATATCATCTCGCGAAATTTGTCTTCTTAATGCCTTATTCAGATTAACTTTTAGTGAGAAACAACCAATCAGGAAACTGTGTTTGTCTGCTAACAATAATCTATGATAATGTACTTGGAAATCTTTAAATATCTGTTGATTTCCTTAATAAACGATCTGTTGCCTAACTTCTACCTTCTGTCGTTACATTGGGACTTCCTAGAAGTGATGTTGAAGGAAACATAGATCACCTTTTTATGAGGGAAAAGGAGGCAAGACAAGGAAAGGTCCTCACTTACCTGGAAGCTAATAGGAGAGGAGGCTGTTGAAACAGAAAAGATAACTCAATGCAAAGATGGAAAGAAGAAAAATAGAAGGAGAATCTGAGTCCAGTGTTCATCTCAATCACTGAATAAAGGAGTGGAGAAGATTGCCAGAAAAGATAAAACACAATTCTATGACACAGTGTCTGGCAGCTGAAGCAGAACAGGCAGTGCGTAGGTAGAAGAGACCTCAAAACATTTTATTAGATAACCAGGTTTCTATTCGGAAGGAGATCAACACTGATGGTGAAACCTATGAAAGATGTTTGAGCGAACCAAATTGCCAAGGAGGAGATACGAATGAAACAATAATCCAATCACTTCAAAAAAACTCTTGAATCAACCATCACCACAATTCGCCCGGAAATACCACTAACAGGAACCAGAGAAATATCACTGGACATCAGTCTTCCAATGAAAACAGAAGTCATTGATGCGACCAAGTTACTGAAAACCAGCTAGAAAGGCAGCAGGGCTGGAGAGAATTCCTCCTGAAGCACTGAAAATAAATACAGAGACTACGGCCGACATAATCACGCCACTGTGACAAAACGTTATGAAGGAAGGAAAGACACCTACCCAATGGAAGAATTCTACCTTAGGAAACTTACAAAGAAGGGAGACCCACGCCTCTGCAAGAACTGGCATGAAATAATGCTCTTGTCCATGTCAAGTAAAATATTAAGTTGCACCATCATGGAGTGAATAAAGGATGCACTGGATGCAGACCTCCACCCAGCAAGAACAAGCTGGATTAAGAAAAGACAAATCATGTGCTGATCAAATC